TAATGAATTTGCAGTTATTGATCGAAAAAATAAAAGCCCTGGTCCATTGAGCGTAGGAGGAGCTTCCAAGGATGGTAATGGTCCATTAGTGGTATTATTCTCAGGCCCAATAGTATAATGAAAACTCCTTGTCAGCAGAAATCTCAGTACTGTTGCAAGATCTGAAACTTGCTAAGCAGCTGAATCTAAGACAGGTGGAGATTGAATGGGGATTGTATGATGGTAGTGGGATGTAGATTAATAACAGCCAAGGACCTTGTGTGTACAGACAGCTCATGAGGAAAATCAGACAGTTAGCAAGAGAGGTAGAGGCCACCTTTAGGTTGGTCAACAAATCAGAAAATGGTTTGACTAATGCATTAGCCCAACAAGGGGGTATCTAGGGAGCAACTTTTTTGGGATAATTTGTATGCATAATGTGATAAGGTGGACTGGCTCCTAATGTGAGCTGTGAACTGTGAAATTTGACATTAGTATTCTGATTTAATACAAGATATCTATTACTTATCAAAAAAAAAATTATTACATAACATAACTTTGCATAAATAAAAACCTTAAGAAAACACAACCACCTTGGCATCAAATTTGACTTGATTATGATTCATGTCATGAATAAAACAGACACATCCAGAAAAACCTTAAAGAAGGGCTAATCGTGGAAAGACTGAAACCTTGGTACTCTGGATGGCATCTTCTTAAACAAATAGGCAATTCTTTATGCATCTCCCTAAAATTGAATAGGGACAAATGTACTGAATAACAATGCTCTGACCACCTCCAACATATGGTGATTCTTGCTTTTCCTTGCACCATTCTGTTGTGGTGTACAGATACAAGAACCATGGTTCTTCTAGATACTGCTTACATACTTTTTGAATCACCCTTTTAAATTGTCCAAGCATAAGATCTTGAGTTTTCTCTCAAAGTGGATTTCCACCAAACCATAAAAATTTTTGATATTTTCGAGAACTTCATCTCTTGATTTCAAGATATACAGTCATGTGTGACAATGAAAATATGTATAATATTGAAAGGAAAAGAACTATTACTTCTTTGAAAAAAAAAAAAAAGAACATCTACAATGTTTAGTAAATTGATAGGCCTTACATTACAAACTTGAAAGAGAAACATGTCAGAATAACTCAGGAAATATATACCTCAACAACCCATAAAAGAGACACCAATAAGCCAAATGTTACTTGAACATAACTAGAACAAGCAGATCCAAAAATCAAAGAAGGGTGGTCTCTAGTAGTAGTAGCCAAATTGAACCCCTCATTCAGATGGTTTCTTAGATCTAACACTTCAACTTCTGAAAGCCTTACCAAAGGAAGTTAAATAATTAGGTTGCTTTTAATGAATTTTATATGCTTTTATAAAGGAGCCCATTCATGGAATTGGACTACTTGGTTACGCTTTTATATAATTAAATTATTAAAATTTTCATAATATAATATCTCTATTGTTATTAACAAAAATTAAAAATAAATAAATGCTAGGAAATTTTGGTCCATTTCCCTAATGTATAGCAAAGCTCACCTACCAAAGAATCATGCATTCAAGAGGAAAAAAAGTGATCTGAGAATTATTGGGTTTCTCCCTAGCACAGTTTCAAGGAACTAAGATGAGGCTGGGCTACATCTGAGAATCAGATATTATTTTCTATATAAAAAGTCTAGTTGATTTTAGCTTGTTTCCCTAGTCAATATAGCAACTAGAAAACATTAAAAGTGATCTAACATGTAATAATCAAACATTAAAAGCAGAGCTAAAACAACATTACATAGCCTATGAGAAACTAGAGCATGGATCTCTGTTTTGTTAATGCAAGAAGGTGATAAAGAGAGAATTTTATCTTAACTAAAATAATACAAGAAAATAGACATATGAAGCAATAGATTTCTTGTTATTTTAAACGCAATAGATATGTAGAAGAGAAAATGTATGAGTATGTTAGTTGTAGAGAAAAGTTCAAAAAAAAAATCAAGGGGCTGAACCCTTATTCTGCTTATAGTGGAAAGAAAGAAGCAATTACAGAGGATGTAAAAAAGAAAGGACAAATTAAGGGACAAAGCCCATTTTATGGCTCTCTAAGTTGAAAATTGGTTTCTATTTCTATTATGCCCTTTACACTCCTTTGTTTATATAATAGTATATGATTTAGTTTCCTTTAACCTTAAAATTAATACAACTAGCATATAGAAACACCAAATTAAGGCATAAATCAATATATAAAATAAAATAAAATAAAAAGTAGGATTTGTATCACTTGACCAATGAAAATATCAAAAAATCACCAAAAAGGTGAGAATAGCACATTGGATGTTTGTAATTCTTAAACAGACAATTAAAGAAGACAAGATTATATCTGGTAATTCACCGGTGGAGAAAGAAAGTATTAGAAATTGGAGAGTTGTGACTGCTGAATAATGATGGTAAAAGGAGTAGTTGCTGCAACCATTATATTGAACTTGACTTCTTTTTGGTCATTTTCAAATGGATGAATCAAACAATTGAAGGAATGTGACAATGTAATTCTTATGCAATGTATTTCACCCAATTTAATGATTTTCTGAAAGTAACATAAAAATTTTATTAAAAGAAAAAGAAGAATACAGGGAACATGACAATAACTCATCTGAGAGAAGAATAAAAACCAACATCCACAACAACACCATTCCAACTTCAAATTCAACCAAACAAAGCCCAATGAACATCTCCCAAGATACCAAACAAAACACCCCTGTCCCAAAACTGACTTTAAATCATAGTTTTCAAGATGCCAAAGCAAGGCAATGGATTTTTTTTTCTAGTAAAAATTACATATATTAGGGTAGTTCCCTAGTTCCATAGCAACTAGTAACTGTATTTCCTTAATAATTCTCCATATTTTCGTAAGAAAGTATCAATTTCATGTTAAAGTATAGAAAATCAGCATATTCATGAGATAGAAAAACGAAAGAAGAAAATTCAAAAAATAGAGAGACTGAACCCCTATTTTTGTTATGGGAAAAGAAGAAAAGAAAAGGTGGAGGAAGAAGAAAATGTGTTGATTAGAAAAATTTTAAGTTCTTCCTTATTGGTTCAGGATTTGAAGTCTTTTGAGGGTTCAAGACAGCATTTAGCAACATGTGTGTTGATTAAACCCTAACAAATAAGAAAATAACAAAACCAAACTAGTATATAAACACACTAAATTAATAATTTAGTTTAATAATGTCTATTTTTGAATTATAATCTCAAAAAATTTAAGAAATAAAAGTATTTCATAACACCATGTACAAATCTGTTTGATGATTAAGCGAGGCGACCCTCCAAGGGCACCTTGTCGCCTAGGCATCACCTTGACAACCCGTTTCGAAAAGACACCACCTCTACTCAAACCTTTTGAAATGAACATGACCCCCAACCTCTTCTTAAGAGCTTTCTTAACTTTTTCACCTTCTTGTGTGGCCCAACCCCACATAAACCTCCTCTTAATCTATAAATAAAATAAAAATAAAAAAACTTTTGAAATCATAATGTTTTAATGTTTTCTCTAGCTTCTGAAAAATCTTACTACAAGAGGATTCTTCTTTACGCCATTTGGATCCTTAGAAGTCACATTAATCCTTTCAAACTCCAACACTGTTCTTCTCAAAAGTCTGAACTACAACTCACTCTTCACTTTCTTTGTCAATAACCCCTACTTTTTTTTTGTAGATCAAAGAAGAAAATTTCATTCATCAAGAAAGCAAAATACAAAACCAAGGTGACAAGGAGTCACCCCACCACCAACAAGAGAAAAATAGAAAAACAATCACCAAAGAAAACCACAAGACTTATTGATCAACATTAGGCAATCAAAGAGCACCAAAAACGGCTGCAGAAAATTCTTTCCAAAAACCTTCAAATTCTGGAAGAAAACAAACCCAGCCAGACGATCCTTGAACTAAAAGAACCACTACATGTTAATCACACACCAAATCTATCAATAACCTCATCTTCCCTTAAATTAAAACCATCCTCACCAGAACTTCGATTTTTATTTTCCTTTTCCTTTTCCTCCAATTCTTTAAACACCTTCCTAGCAAACTCCCCCCCCCCCTTAAGAAAGAACAAACCCAATGTTTTACTCGCCTTCACCTCTCTATTCACCACCACTTCAATTTCAATCTTACTCTCTATTATTCGAGACATCTTTAATCATTGTACTCAAAAGATTTACTCAATCCAGTCATGCAAAGAAAAAGGGCGTGCAGACCCTATCATTTGAGTATTTCCGTTTGAATGTCCTATGACCATGACAATGAAAATAGTGCAATTGCCAAAAGATTTGACATTTTACTCAAAAGATTTACCAAATCCACTTATGAAGAGAAAAAAGGTTGAGCAGACGCTGCAGACCTACCATTCAATAGTGGAACAACCCTTTCAAAAGGTGTAATCAATCTAGTCATTGAAATAATGAAAATAGTGCAATTTCCCAAAAAAAAATGAAATTCTAAAGAACAAGGTAACAACATGGTTTTTCAATTGGAATCATTGGGTATCAGTCTATACACAAGACCAAACTTCCTTCTTATTTTTTATTTTTTTTTTGTTGAGGTATATGGGTAGAATCTCTCTTCAATGGATGTGATCCATGGTGGTGAAGTTAAATAAACAATTGGTTTGTTGGAGAACCATAAAGAATGATGTTATCTGCTATTTATGAGGAATAGGAACCATTTGATGACTGTTTGAACTTTCAAGTCAGGGTGTCCACCAAAAAAAATATGATTGACACAATTTCCAATAGGCTCTTTTTTTTGGGGGGGAGGAGGGTACTGTATGTACTTTCAGTTCTTGCTGTTCTCTCTGCCATCAAAGCAAAATGAAACTCCTGGTAGGCATTTATGCAACAAAATCACAATTCCATGAAATTCAAATTAATCAAATTGGAATTTCTTGATTCAACTCCAATTCAACAACAAAAACCATACGCACAGAAACCATCTGAAATGCAGCAGTGAGGCATAAAAACGGAAACAATTTTTACACTAATTAATATTCATTCATAATAAGCTTTCAATTACAATGATATTGAAGAAAAGGAAGTAATGAAACATTACATAGACCAGATACCTGCAATGCCTATGTCCTATGTGTTCACTGAGGAATAGTATACCTCTCCATCAAACATCAAATTTGGCAATAAAAGCATTAAAGAAATACAACAAAAGAATTAGGAAACACAGAAAAAAGAACCTTCGCCAGATACTGCTAAAGAAATCAATACATTTTATGTCACCTGCAACTATTTAATCTACCACATTTTCTTCTTCTTCATTCAAACCTGCTTCATTTCTTTCTTGTATGCTTCCAATTCATTCACCCACAGCTCTGCAAACTCACAATTCTTGTAGGACTCAAACCAAGGGCCACCAGAAGTATAATGTATGGCCTTAGGGAACGCTGCCGGGTCGTTCTCATCGACCTTATTATGACCCACTAGAAAATTCCATACAAAGGGGATCGACCCAATCTCATGATCCTCCAGCCACATGAACCTGTGAAGGTAAGCACCTGTCTGCGAATTCACCACGTCGGGCGTTAAGATCCGATTTTTGGGATGCCCACAGTTATAAAGCACCATGGACGACCAGTTTTTTCGTGGGTAAACAGTCTGCACAGCCCCATCCATCTTGGTGGTTTCTTTGGGCGCATAATCATGGTGAACACACATAATTGCATAATTATCATCGATCAGATCCGTCAATTCCTTTATATCTGCCGTGTAAAGAAAGTCACAGTCCACGAACATTGCCCAGCCATCGAAATCGGCAAGATGTGGAGTCAAGAACCGACTGAAAGAGAACTCTGTGCTCTCAGTCGGGCCACGCTCGCGCCAGTAAAGGCCCTTGCTCCTCAGATCCGGCTGCTTGATGGGTATGACCTCCACCGGAATCGAGGACCTCTTCAAGAGAGAATATCGGCAGACCTCGTAAGCAGCATCCTCTCGGGGATCATATCCTATGAAGACCTTGAAAGCCTTCTTTGCATCGCCATTGAAAACTGGGGCATCAACCTTTCCGTTACTCAAAGTCATCTCAGCAGGCAAAATTACTGTCTAATTCCTGCAAACAGAAACGCACAACGTGATTCTTTGATCCTTCAATTAAAAAGAAAAACCTTGATAGAGAAAAAGAAATGGGCAGAGATCAAAAACTTTAAAAACAAAACGGGGAAAAAACTCAAAATGTAAGAACAGAACAACCGAATGGAATCAGATCGAGCACATAACAATCTCAGGGCAAAAAATGCAGACACAAACAGTCAAAAAAAAATCGAAGAAATTCGTTGAAAAAACAAAGACCGAGAGATTTAAGGGTGGGGAGAAGAGAGAGAAAAGAGGGAAGAGTACCAAGAAAAAGGGGAGAGTGGGAGTGAGAAGAGAGGCGGTGGCTTTGATGGAAACGCGGGATTGAAAACGAATTGAAGGGACTTATATAACAACAGCAACCACGAGAAATCCTCCTTGCCTCTCTTAACGCACTCTGTTAGACTCGGAGATATTTTTACTTGGCCTCCGTGCTTCGCGCTTTCCCGCGCCCAAGGATTTCTTTTCGTTATGCGGTAAAAAATCGCCCACCGACACAAACCACTTAACGCGCTAAGCCGCTGAGGATGAAGGCTCAAGGCTGCACTACAAAGAGCGAAGGCCGGAGTCCATAGTTCACACAACACAATACAGTGACAGTGAGTCAGTGACTGAGATTTAAGTTTGGGTTATTCCTGTGGGTCTGCATGTGCATGTGAATGTTCATCAAAGCAAATGTATTGACAGCTCATTCATTTCAATGCTCACATGCTTTGCGATTTGCGAATAGGGTTGTAAATGGGTCGGATAATAATAAATCCGACTCCGATCCGATGGCAGAGTGAGTCTATATAAAATTAGCATATATTTATAGAATTAAATATGAAATTAAATAAATTTATGATGTTAAAGGGTCTCGAAGACTTAAATTTAATAATGGATACGTCACTATAGGCCATATAGTTGGAACAACACTACAAAAAAAAGGGCTAGCCTTGAATTATGTGATTTTTTTCTTAGGCTCAGTTTGGAAAAAAAAATAATACAGACAGTATAAATACTAAGGTTTTGCAATGGATATAAATTGTTTGCCCTCTTTCCATATTGATTATAATCCTGGATTTCTTTGTAATGTGAATTTCATTTCAATTATTATAAATGCTTGAGAGGTGAGTGCAAATACGCTAAGTACACATTTTTTACCATTGCTTCAGATTTGACTTTGCTTTTATCTATTTGTGAAAAAAAGTATAAAAATAAGAGGTTTAAAAATTACATCCCCACCTTATATGAAAGAGAATGAAGGCACTAGTAGGAGGGTTATTTGTTTGGGAGTGGGGTAAGAAGAAAGATTATGTGGCCCCGATTTTATATAAGAGGGAGGTAGTACAGATTTTGCATCAGTTTGTGAGATGCAAAATTTGCATTGCCAATGAATACAAATTAGACAATGTATAAATTTTGGATTAGGTAGGAATGCAAATCATAGTTAGAAATAAATAGATGCAAAATCAAACAGGGTACAAGGAGGAGAAAGAGGTGGAGAAAGGAAAATAAATGGATTAATTAAAGTAATGATGGATAGGATGCAAGGCAATTGCAACTATGAGCATTACATCTATATCTATCGGGCTCAACTATGATATGGAAAAGATATCATATCCAAAAAAACAACTGATCACTAATCTGGAATCATAAACATGATAGCAAATAAGGTGTTGTTTATCAAAATTCATGGGTGGGTTTTGATTGGTCAAAATTCTTTCCATACCATATCTTTCCCCTATCATAGATTTTCTGATACTACTATTAAATCAATGAGGTCTATATTTTGTACTATTTTTAACTAAATTACCCCTATTATTAAATTTGGTCCCCCTTTATTATGAGGGTAAAAAATGATTTGACCTATTAGTTTTATTAAATTAATTATATTCCTTCTCGTTAAGTATTAAATCTTACCCCCTCTCATTAAATCTTATAATTTACATTAAATAAAAGAGCTTTTGTGGATTTTTTGACTAAAATACCCCTACTTATGAATATGGTCCATCATTAACCATGTTGGCATAGAATTTAATTTAAGGGCAAATTTCTTAAACTACCCCTAAGGTTTAAAAAATTGACTAACTATACTCCTACTATTTCAGTATTGTCTTAAAGTACCCCTATTGTTTCTGACAATTATCACCATCATTAAATCCTAATGGAGAAAGCATGAAGTGAAATGGGGCCGACGCATGGTGTTGGAGGTGGAACATAGGCCTTTAGTGGGTCGGTCATGGCAAGAAAACATGAAGTGATCAATGGCAAGGCTTATATTCCAATAAGGGTATTTTGCAGCGATGATGTTGACATAATCAATGACTATGTGTTTTATGTCATGGGAGTTGTGCACATAGGGGAATTGAACCATCATTGTAACACTAAAGGGTAGGAAGAATACATGGGCTTCTTTAGGATCTTGAGTTCTTCAGCAAAGAACAAGTTCTCCGCTAGCAAGCTCTTGCGCTTGATGATGAATAGTGGCCAATGGAATAAAAGAAAAATAGGGAAGGAGAGAGAGAGAGAGAGAGAGAGAGAGAGGAGGAGGAGGAGGATGGAAGGTTAGCCACTGCCATTGGTTTGAATAGAAAAGATGGTGATCTTTGTTGGAAAGTACCTCGAAGATGGCCCTTGTTGACTACAATTGTAAGTAAGGTGGTAAGGCTGCATGGGAGTGGTCTCCTTAAAAGACAAATGGGAGTGATGAGATGGTCGAATAGAGTGGTTGGATGATCCAATGATTGAATGAATGAATCATTATGAAGAGGACCTTCATTTATAAGGAGGAATCCGAGGTCCTAAAAGGAAGGTGTTGAAAGAATTTGATTCCCATTAGGAAAGGTAATATTAGTTTCATTGTCGATCATTAAGGAGCATTGCTAGGGTTTTGCCATGTGTCTTATGAGATCTCTCAAAGACTGACTTTTCTTTTGTCCGAGAATTCTCATAATCCATATATGTTACTTTCTTTCGTGACCTACTTAACTGGTGTGGCATTAGTGACGTCATTATCTAGCAAGCGCATTTTAACAAAACCTACATGGCACCTTGTCACATGTGTAACTTAAAGTTGCACATGTAATCAATATTTAACTCCGATTCACTATGACCCGCGGTTCTGTAATGGTCTTGAATTCATCACAAAACTACACGTATATGAAGTTCATCACAAAAACCGTGTATATCCGAGATTTATTGCAGAATCACGCGCATTCTAAGTTTATCACGAAACAGCGTGCATCTAAACTTCATCGTAGGTTTACATTAGCTAAAGTTTATCTTAACTTGTGTTGGGTACAAGTTTATCGCGAATGTGCTATAAGTCATATGTTCATCGCAAACGTTTGATGAGTTATAAATTCATCGCAGGTAACCGATGAGTAATGAACTCATCACAAGCGTCCAAGTAGTATCAATTTGGTGTCTTCATACTTTGATGGTCCGAGCGATCAGTATATACCTACAACAACATCTAAAAATAATCTATCTAGTTCTAAGGCTTTGGACATGCAGTAATTGTCAGGGTATTTTGAGTATAATATAACATTAAATCAAACACATGAAGTCATGTGTAAATGGACTATGATGGAGACTTAACAGGAAGGGAGTTGTGTCATAATTGTCAAAAACAATAGAGGCACTTTAAGACAATACTGAAATAGTAGGGGTATAGTTAGTCAATTTCATAAACCTTGGGGGTAGTTTAAGAAATCTGCCCTTAATTTAAATTATTATTACTTTTTACTTCATTCAATTTTCTCTCATTAAGGTGTTAATTCCTATTCTCTCTCCTTATATACTTTATTTGAAGTATTTTTGTTTTTCGCCAATAAATTCTATTAATTAAATTTATCTAACATTTTTAATAATATAAAATTTGTGTTCAAAAACAACATGAAAAATAAACCACCCTTTCATCTAGTTAATGGGTAAGTAGTTCAACTATTTGCATCAAATGGGCCAACCAATAGTCTTATGATTAAACAATAAGGTAAATCTCTTAAACTATCCCTATTATTTAGTAAATGGACATGCAGTACCCTTACTATTTAGCTATTGACTTGTGGTCGTGATGTACATTTTTTTTCCAAAACCTCTCCCTTCTTCTTCACCATCCCTCTCCCTGACACGGCAGCTAAGTGAACCACTCTGCAACTATTCCACTCCCTGTTTCTCTACCGCCATCGCCACCACTGTCGTCGTCTGCATCCGACTATTTTTGCTGGTGACTTCTTGTTCAAATTTGCAAAATATAACAGAGAAAAGGGAAAGAGATGCTGGTTCATCAAAACCTTAACCTTTCAAACCCAAAAGCTCCACTCTGTGGTGAATCGAAAAGAAAATAAAGGATGGTGTGGAGCAGCAACCCATTGCAGAAGTTGTAGCGGGTGAAGGTGATTTTGGTATCATTGTCACAAGCGATGGCAGCCACGGCAACTAGTTTTCAATTCCGAATCCAGTACCGCGGTTTCCGATTTTGAATCCAGTAGAAAAGAACCTACAATTTCCGTCTCCAGCAGTTCAGTAGAACAGAACCGCAGACTATGGATCTGGCAGTCCCTCTCTCTCTCTCTCATTCTCATGTTCTTTTTCTTCCATTCTTCATTATCTGACACTCCTCTCATTTCTGCAATACCTATTGGACAGCCAAACCTGACGTCGTTGGAGCAAACATGGGCTTTGGCTAGCTGCCAGAGCCAGGAGGTGGTGGCATTCACAGGCGGAGCCCCTCTTTTTTGTGCAGGTTGTATATGAAGAAGAATGGAGCCCCGCCCCGCCCCTGATTTAACATAAAAATATAAAAGAGAAAGGGGCAGACCCCCTGTTTTACTGAGAAAAACCAAAAGAGCAAACATAGGCTTTGGATAGCTGCCAGAGCCAGGAGGTGGTGGCATTCACAGGCGGAGCCCCTGTTTTTGTGCAGGTTGTACATGAAGAAGAAGAAGAATGGAGCTTCGCCCTTGATTTAACATTAAAAACAAAAGAGAAAGGGGCGGAGCCCCTATTTTACTGAGAAAAACCGAAAGAGCAATGCTGAGCCGCCGGCGCCAGGTGAGCTTTGATCGCCCACTAGGATGAAGACCATGTAGATTTTCGTAAAGGGTCCGGTTGGGGATGTATTCATAGACCATGAGGGGTTGTTCTAGCTCAACACAGCATCCAAGCAGTCAAACGGGGCTATGATGGTTCACCTGACATAGGATTCTGACTGAGGACCTGATCTGTACCCTTGGTGTTCTGAGCTTGGCGCACTTGACGGCAATGATGGTGCCATCCTCGAGGATGCCCTTGTAGACCTCTTCGTAGCCACCGGCGCCAAGCAACCGGTCCTTAGAGACGTTATTAACTGCCTTCTTCATTTCTCTGTCAGGTGAAGCTCTTGGCAGATTTGCCACCACTTTTGGCATTTAGTATCTCCACTCGCTCCTTGGCCAAGTGTTCTTAGCCTATTTGATGTGCGGGCGGTGGCATCATCAATTTCGTCTTTGCCGAGCCTGAGCCCATGAGCAGCAGATGCGGTTTGGAGGGACAAACTTGACATTCTGTT